CCCCCCCCCCATCGGTTCTTCAACACAATAATATGAATGTTGCAGGAGTATCTCCTTCTGTGTTCTTTGTTGCAAAGAATGTTGTGCCATTTGTTAATAGCAAAGATAACTATTGAACCTATAGGAAAAAGAAGAGCTATTTTAAATTATTTTTTGGCTTTTTTTGCTATATTTATTTTTCTTGTATTAGAATCTTCTTTGTAGGGGGGAAATATTAAAAAATGTATTTTTCATTAGTGCAAAAAAAACTATTTTCTTCCTTTTTGTACAATTTCAATGTTTTAAGCGAGACTTGAAAAGCAATATGACGATGTTTCCTGTGACTGTATCTGCATGCTGTTTGTGTTGCCTTAATGACGGCTGCACCCCCCCTGGCCCCGCCCCCTCCACCCCATCTGATGGAGCCAGTGAGTCAATAAAGCAGCTTTGTGTACTCTGTGCCTCCTGTTCATCACTAAAACACGTGTACTTTGATAGTATAAATTGTCTTATCTCTAAGTATTACTTTTAAACTTTGATGCTTTCTAGCAGATGCTACTTGTAGCTACATTAAGACAAACTTTTACAGAGCTTCAAACATTTATAAAACTGAATTTCCCTCTGAAATATTAATATATAATAACAATTTCACGCCACTTCATCCAGAAGCAGAATGAAACTAGAAGCACAAAGAAAACATGAGCCACAGCGCAGAGGATGGAAGACTGAAGACGAGCCATAGCAGCAAAAGTTGCTTTTACTTTCCTTATATGGAGTCTGCAGGAGCCAGATTATATATTAGTCAATAGATATGTATAAATAACACTTTATTTCACAAGTCCACTACTACTACTTTCCAGATACTTTACCCAAGGACATTTCCTGGAGTGTGTGTGTCAGCTTTGCTTGCAGAGGAAGGCTATTTACCAGACTGCTGAAGGTGAAGATGAGCCATAAAACCAGAGGACGAGTGTGTTAGAGAGAGAACGTGTCACTGAATCATCCCTCTTTAACATCTGCATCTTATAGGTACAGATCCATCTGTATCCATAGCAATTAGGAGAGAATCCGATCAAATGTCAAGTGAAACGATTGTTTTTGTGGTGAGCCTGGTGGTTGGGGACCTCCGTCCTACAGTATTAACGAGCACCACCCAGTGGCCAGATGGTGTAGGTGCACGTTTCTATTGATACTGATATTTCTGTACTTTTATTTTCTTGCCGTTTTGTATACAGTTGTGTGGGTACTTAAACAACTAAATATTTCTCCCACGGATAATCTGATATAGAAAGGAAAACATGTGGATGGATGTTAAAGCCCGTTATTCATTGAAAACATTTATTACATTTTTATGATGCAAACAGCGTCCCGCCCTCCTCACGAGGGGAACCAAGGACACACAAAAGGGACAGAAACAAAACAAAAATATTACGCAAAATGTCATTGATTGTTAAAAAAAAAAAAAACATGACAATCTGCTTATTCCCAGTTTGGCATCCCCCCCCCACAACCCCCCTCATGAGGTACTCTCCGGAATAATGATCATTAAAAAAATCAAAAGAACAAGGCATGCATAATAGTTTCTGGTAATGCACATAGATCAAAGGATACCAGCTCTAAATACAAAATCCATGTACGCTGTTTATGTACTTTTAATGTGTGTGCGTGTACATGTTTGTACACACACACACACACACACACACACACACACACACACGGTACCTTTCTGGGAGGCATTTCTGCATCCTCCGTTATCTACACCTGGTCACTAGATTTAATCCAGTCAAAAAGGTCCAAACCCCGCCTCCCTCCGTCGCCATGGTTACTTCAGTCTTCTTTCATCCAACAACCGAAGAGCAATCTACAGGATTTCACCCAACTCCTCCCGGGGTTTTTACGACACGCCTTATTTATTAAAAAACACTATACTACCCCCCCCCCATCCCTCCATGCAGCTCTTTTAGAGAAGTCTGGAACTAAAGCGTTCTAAGTCTTTAAGTAACTTCTGATAAGCGAAGAGATGCACTGGTCCATTTCCAATAACTGGGTGACGGAGCCACACCACTACGGTGGGGGCTGTTTGTTGTTAATATTTACCAAAATATCATGTAAAGGAAACAAGAGGACTATGTAAATACTAGGTTGAATGAATGTCTTTACTGTTAAAAAGTGTACCGCAATGAATACAACTATGATGCTCTCTCATTGTGAGTGGACGAGCGGGGGGAGGACGGGGGGGGGCAATCGATATGCCAATGGATACATGTACAGATTTACAGTTATAATGCATCTACCATCACACCCAACAGGTGAGAGCTTGAGAGAGAGGGGGGGGGATCCTTTCTCTGTGGAACCAATGTGATGTGAGAAGAACACACAGAGATGAAAACGTGCGTGTGTGTGTGTGTGTGTGTAAACTGGTAGGAATTCTGTAAGTGCGGGAACCAAATGTTCGACCAATAAAAGTCTATTGGGATCCGGTTGTACTGGTCTCTCTTGTTCTAACCAAGAGCGGGGGCTGAGTGTTGGTCCTGGTGGTGGTCTTGAGGGTCTGGGATTAGCGCCCCCGGCCCCCTGATGGTGGTCTAGTCGATGTACTGGGAGAGCCAGCGGAAGCCCTCTCCGTAGCCCTGCCTCTTCAGCACGCTGCACATGAACACCTCCAGAGGTCTTGTGTTCAGCTCCTTCATGGCGATGGTTCCCTGCAAGAACAAGAACGGGAGTCACGCCAGAGACACTTCATCGTACGTTACGTTGCTTTGGTCCTCTGGACAGCCCGACACGGAGAGCGACGACGTTGTTGTTCTCAAGTGAAGACATGAAATTCATTTTTACAAACGTGTAGATGTGTTGCGTTACTTTGCATAAGAAAAGTAAAACTCCAGCGAGAAGATACTAAACCCGGCAAAAGTCAGTTTTAGGGAGCCGTCTTTTCTCTGTTCAACTTCTCTTCCTTTTCCTTTGAGGCCCCTCCCCCCATAGAGGTCACACGGCGGCGTGCGGCGCCCACCTTCCCTGTGGTCTGTCCGTACAGCCCAAAGACCTCCCTCAGCTTCTCCTCGCTGATGGCCTCTGGTCTGTCGATCTTGTTGCCCAGGATCAGGATGGGCACGTTTCCGATGGTCTCGTCCGTCATCAGCGCCTGATGGGGGGGGGGATACTAGATTAGACTACACAGGTTCGATAGGATGCAATGCAGAGGCAAACTGGCCTTTAATCATCTTATTCAGATACTATCAGGCGAGTAGGGCTGTCAACGAATATTCTACATTCAAATATATATTGGAATAGTTTTTTAAAAACTATATTAATGTTCGAATGTAAAAAAAATAAATAAATCACTGAATGAAGCCGGCCATATTTGGGACAAAAATTGTATTCGAATGTCATTTTTGAGCAACTGGATCGAGTTTTACTGATTTTAATCTGCTTACCGGGTACCGGGTCAAAAGGTACTCACGTCAAGTTCTGCCTTTGATTCGATCAATCTGGCGAGGTCTGCACAATCCACCAGGAAGACGATACCGTTGATGGCCGGCAGGTAGTTCTTCCACACTCTGCGGGCTGTCGGGGCCGAGACAACAACGTCAGCCTTTCACCCGCTGCACAGACCCAAAGCACCACACTGACCGGCTTCTATCGGACCTCCACCCGCCCACCAAGGAATACAAACATCTACACGCGCCGCCGTCGTACCTTGTTGATGGCCTCCAAGGTCGAAGGTGGTGAAGGTCATGCCGGCAATGGTCAGCTCTTCTGAGGCTGGAGGGAGAAAAACAAATTGTCAACAAACAAACATGGTATTGGTGGCCTTCCACACGCAACTCAATTACACGTGAGAGAGAGAGAGAGAGAGACTCACTCGGGTGCAAGGTTGGCACATGCTGTCCCAGTCTGTCGTCTTTGAGCATGTGCAGTAGCGTCGTTTTTCCGGCGTTGTCGAGGCCAAGAAATACTAACTTGCCAGATTTCCTGTACAGACCTGAAGCAAAGCCAGAGGAATTTAAGGAAAGACGTCCAGATGTGTCATACTGAATGCTTCCCCTCGATGAGTCAGCGGATATAAAAAGCGGCGTACGGCTCTGTTGTGCTGAGACCTGCAGTGGATCAACAATCCAACATGGGGGTAGAAGGTGGCTGTGCTCCACCTGCTGGTTTAGCTCATCTTTCTTCCCCTGAAATGAGCATCCCGAGTCGGCCTAACCCAAACTTAGTCTCCCTGGTCGTGGCGTCGATGACTCCATTCAGGGGCTTCTGGCTGCCTCGGGTCTACCGGGCGCCACCGCTGTGCAACAGGAAAGACGCCACCGGCTCGACATCACTGAACACGTGGCGCAAAAACTGAGGGTACCTGTTGGTCCTTTGAGAGCCTTTTCAGGCTCACATAGCAGCAGGGTTGGGCGGTGGTTTGTCATTCTCGATCTTGTATTGTTATTAGCAGAGAAACAGGTCTCTCTAAAAAAAAACAGGTAAAACCAGCTTGTTGTATAAAGTCAGGAGCAAATGAAATGCGTCATTGGATGTTACCCCTTAAGCCATGTGATGATGCAGCAAAGCTTTGGGGACGCATTCGCCTTTGAAAGGTTTCCTCAGACTGCATTGCACAGGATCGGCAAATGAAAAAGGAGCAGTGATTCATTGAAAGTGAATAAGATGCCAGCACTCCTCTGGCGCTGCAGTTATATTCTTGTAGTATAATTCGGTCTTTAAAATGTTATGTTTTGTCAGTCAAGTTACTTTGGTAATAAATTATCAAAAGAGTTGTAAAGTGAAGCAAAACGTTGTTGCATAGCAGGGAGCAGATTTTCTCTCCTGAAACAGGTTCTTTGCTCGTCGACAGTTGGTGGGATCTGAATCAGACTCCAGCCGACTACACGGCAGCTTTTAAAGAAGCTATTCTCAGACGTCTGGGAGTTTAATGAGGAATGCACAATGGTTAACCCACATGAAAACATTGCTATTAAAACAAAGCATCACAGCTCCTTACGGCTAGCGAGCTAACGTTCCCTCGGGTGCAGCAACGCTAAGTGGAAGATTTTGAACTGAAATTCATGTTAGAGAGAAGGGCATCCATTAAATGTGGATTTATAAGCGTGACCAAGCGGTCATGTTACTCTGATATTCATATTTTAACATTGAGAAGTGGCCAGGAATAGAAGGACATTGTGAAGCCGTCTGATGGACGGGTTAGCATACGAGGAGCGGCGCCTCCAGAAACATCTCTGGTATGTGTGAGTCAGATTGGAGAATGCTGAACACAACGTCAACAAACCACGTAGAGAAACGCAGCCGCTAGCACAACAGAAAAGGAACCCTAGTGACGAAACCGCCACGCACACCAACGTTGGGGATTGAGGTATCAGGCTAATTAGTAGTTGTAGGTGTTCAATTAGTCTCCACACTAAATGCTCTCCCATGTTAACCAGTTCACCGTGTTACATTACAATCTAACAGCTTAGTGGTTCTCACTACACCAGTTTCCAGATTTACTATTTGTCAGAGCGTCCGATCGGGAGCACTTACCTAACATCTGTAGTACACTATTGAACCCGCTATAAATCCAGTCTATGATGAACGCCATATCTGGAGCTGTTAAATCCTGAAAAACAAGTAATAGGGAAAGGGACAAACGTAAGAACACATGAATACACAAACGGAGAAGGAAGGAAATTGGAGAGTTTGGACAGCCGCATTAAGACGGTATCCTTCCTCCCGAACACTGAAGCACAAAGAGTTGTCACAACATTGGACAGACAATCTAAGCAGAGATCTTTTAAACAGTGGTTTATGTTTCCACTCGGCTCCTGTTTGCTCAAAACGCTGGACCGCGTGGAAAGGCTGAAGCTCAAATATATTGTGTTATTACACAATATGTTCTGTTAGAGTTCTGATTTAAAATCTTAATAAGCGAGTAAAAATGATAATGAATTGGAAAGATTACATTTGATCTCACAGCTTCTGTCTTAATGTTAAAACTACAACGGCCCTGGTTTTGCTGAAAAACATCCAGGTCTAAAAAGTAGGATCAGAAAAGGAGACAGTTAGATCAATAGGGAAAAAAAAATCACAACCCTTCAACACAGAACCCCATAAAAGCTCAGAGGTTCACTGATCATACATACAACATTGAATTGATATTGTCAGCGGGTGATAAGGACAATGTAGCTATGCTGATGATTAGCTCATTTCCAGCAAGAGTCTCAGGACACGCTCCTCAAAACACGATTGATTTGATCAACACGAGCCGTCTGAGGCCTCGGAGGAGAAGTCTCAGCCTTTCCCCCTAAACTAGCATGATTGTTATACGGAGTGAGCAAAACGGTCTTTGTTCATTCACCACCCTGAGTGAGTGAGTGAGTGAGTGAGAGAGAGAGAGAGAGTGAGAGTTCTCGTTTCCTTGCCCTTTTCTGTGCACAGAGGCCTGACAGCCAGGTAGCTGGTGCCGACCTCTGGCCCCAGTTACGTAACCTGCAAACAACTCCAGGGCTGAAGGATAAGGTAGCCAAAGGTCACGACCACGCAAACACAGCTGAACTACACGTCGGTCGCTGATCCCTTGTGGCCCGATGCCTTTGCTGTTGGAGAACAATGCTGCCTGCCACGTGTGGCTGCGAGATGCAGCTGTGAAGGTGAAACTGTTAAAAGGCAACGGAGCACAACCACCGCTAAACATGGCCACGTATCCTGCAAGAGCCTGTGTAACTGTTCCAAAGCAGCTGGGGTTGCTGTTTAAAAGGGAGGCAAGAGTGTCAACAAGCCCGGACAACGACATCAAAGTGAAGGGAACACAGCGATCTTCTGGTCACCGTTTCGGTCGTGTAGCACGCAGCGGAGCAAGTGACCGAGAAATGATCTCTGAGCCTTTCATCGACACATCTGTAATGAATGAAATCCACACGGAAATGGATGTTTAGGAATGAATATGATTATGAAGAAGCCCAAATTCACCAAGCAACAAGTGTTACCACTTCCCCTCTAGTATTCTCTGTAGGATTATCTTTTTTCCTTCTTTCTAACTGGAAATGTTTCCTCAACCGGATAACAGGAGAGCTACTTGAAAATACGGTAGCTGCGTAAACACATGAGTAATAAAAGTGTTTCAGTTGCCAAATCAAGACCACCACCTTTTAATTTCTAGTTACGTATCTCTTAAGATTCCAGGCAGGCGTCGTGACTCGGAGGGACAACTGTCCACTACACAGTAAAAGTCACTGTCTTTCACGTCCAGCTATCACAACCGCTGTCAACGTAGCAGCGAAGTTAGCTAACCGTTAGCTTAACCGTAACATTACATCGATTAGCGGTTTCTGGCTAGTTCTGCTGTAAAAAAAACAACAACACGCATATTTCAGTAATATAACAAAGTCCCATCAAGGTACGGCAGATACGCTAAGTGTACCTTTGTAAAGCCTGGTTGAGGCCGACCGACGGGTTGGCTAACAGGAAGCTACTAGATACGTGTCATATTCTCCAGCAGGCAACGTAGCATCGAGGGGCTGCTAGCTACGTTAGCTTTTCAGCCGTTCGCCAGAGTAACACTTTCCCGCGTTACCGGCAACACATGGAGACTTACACTCGTTGGAATGTTTCCTTTTCAGTAACAGATGCGTGTTGAAATACACCCAACAGCGGGTCAACTTTACCCAGAAGCTCTTCGGGGATGAGCGAGGTAGCCAACTCGGTCTTAGCAATGCTAACGTTGCATCGTCAGCAGCCGGGATAACTCGCTAGCGAATCTTTTCTGGCCGCGGTTGAGAAAATATATTTAAAAACTCACCCGTTTTTAGGTGTAGAGTAATTTACCGAGTGTTGATTTTCTAATCATGTAAATTTGTCTGCCGGTCCACCCCCCAAAAAGAGCCTGCGAAATGCCAGGTCCTCCTCTCCTCTTTTTCGTATTTTGTTACTGAGCCACGACACTGCAATGGCTGTCCAGCAACTCCCCAAAACTCTCACCAGCTGCTTCCTGTTTGTGTTTCACAATCAAATTTCCGGTAGAAGAACTAACGCACAATCTGAGCGTTCCGCTTTAAAAACAACAACAAATTTTAACACTCAATGCACTGAATATCTGTTGATAGAATATGTTACAAGTTTACCAAAACAGAACAAACAACCGCCTGTTGGGTGAAAACTATTGGTATTTACACTGTACAGTCATTTAAATAGGAATTTAACTAAATATGGATATAGATCGTTTTAATAATTTATGGGCAGATTATAAGACATGTAACCAGTTCCACTAAATTGTTAAGAGGGCCGTTTGTACATATAAGAACTCTTGTTGCCTTTACTCTCCCCTCGTTTCCAGTACAACTGAAAACCAAGGGCACAGCAGGAAATGCCACGTGTACACACTGCGCATGCCCGACGGATTTTACGTTGATCTTGGGTGATCCCAACTTCCGGTGAAAGAGGAGAAGTCTCTCACACGACTACTCTGACTGGGCCTATCGCTTCTCACCTGTAGGCAGTTGTGCGGCGTCTCGGCGATAACCATGGCCCTATGATTGCCAATTACTAAGCTAATAAACGTTTTAAGGATTTGGTAGGCGTCACGACATACGCCGCTTTGAGTAAACGCCACACCGTTAGAGCCTCAGGGTTGAGCGTTACCCCGCGACTGCCAGCTAGTTAGCTAGCTAACGACACCGCTAGCTATTAGCCAAGCGAGCCCCTCTAAATTAGGTCCTGGTGTATATTTCAAGATGTCAACTGCGGGGTTTAACTCCCAGAATGGGACAGGACAAGCATATGCAAATGGTAAGTAACATTCGCATGTAACGTTGGATCACGTGAGGCGAAGTTAGCTAACATGAGCTACTAAGAAGCTAATATTAGCAGCCCCTCTTGGCACTTGTCTTGGGGCTACGTGCTAGCTGTTAGCTACGGTAACTTACGGTAACATTAGCCAAGCGACAGCTGTCACGTACAGTTCGGGGGCAGCTACGGTTAATCCCCACTTACTTTATCGACATTAAATAGTGGGAAAGCGTTGTTTATGGTAAGGAACGCTGGCTCAACCTGTCATGCTAACTCAATTTAACCAGTGCAACTTATGGTATTGGCAAGTCTGAACAACAGGTAAGCAGGCATCTTAACTTTTTACGACTGGTGTGGGGTTGTTCCTTCTTCTCTAACGGCGATCATGTGATCGATCCCCCGTCACCGCTGCACATGCTCTTGTCCTGTCGAGCTGCTCGCTTAGCCCGGACTTTTCCTGACGCAATAAAACGCCTAAGTAGCTTTTGGCAGGTCTCTTTTGGAGTTTTATGCAATATAGTTACGCTGCTAGTGGTTGATGTCCTCACGGGTGTACTTTGTATCCTCGCTCGTGCAGTAGTGATTTCTAGCCGGCTGTACAGCTGGGCTTTTTGTTTACCACGTCCTACTGTACATGTGGCACATTCGCGATGATCCAGATGTGATGCTCCAGTCTCATCCAGTGACCTTTTTCAGTTTGAGTTTAATCACAGATCTCTCTGGTTTTCATGAAAGCTGATGGAAAAACACAAACATGGCACATTTGGTTGTGTACATTGTTTTCAATGCATGTGCAGATAATGACATCTTTATTTCATAATGCAGAGTAATTCAGACGGGATGACCTACCTCTAAAATCGATCATGAAGAACCCTAACCACAGCTCGCTGGTCATCTGGTGGCTCTGGTAGTTTTCACTATGGGTGTGTGTCGTCACTCCAGTGTTTCCCCGTGGTTTACAACTTCAGGGGGGAGCAGATGGGCGAACGGGCCGGTGAGGCCGTGGTGCGGCCAGTCCGCTGGTGCTCTCTGCTCCACTGGTGCAAATGCCACATGGACCTAGTCGTGCATTTGTCAGCGTGGAACTTCCATGCGTTGAAAAATAATTAAAATATTTAGTTTTTCATTCCACGCCTTCTTGAGCTGTGCTACAGCATTAAGCTGGAAGACATGCCTGGATTATGTCGCTTGAATCACAGTAGCCCCCTTTCAGGAGTGTGTCCAGGAAGCCAATGGCTTGACATTTTGGTACTCAAGGGGGAGGCCAACAGGCCCCCAGTGTCAGCATTGCTTGAGGATAGTCTGTAAAGAAGAAGCTCGTATGGAAGTCTGCCACAATTTTTGAAACATACCTGTATTTCCAATAATTCTCTTCTCCAGGTCCGTCACAGAATCCAGTTGCCCCCCATCAGCTGCCAGGGATCGGCTACGGCTCGACCCCCCAACCGACGTACGATCCAATGCAGGCCAAAGCTGCCCCGCCTCCTGGCCCACCTGGACCCTACCCCGTCTGTTCCTACCGGCCCGGCGCACCGTTTGTTTCCTACCCGCCTCCCTCGGGCCAGTCGATGCTGACCAGGCCTATGATGGGTGGTCCTCCCTCCCACACTCCTCCACAGTCCGCCAGCCCAGGCCCTAGGCCGCCCCCTGCACAGGCCACACCTCCTCCCGCCGTGTCTTCTAGTAGCTACTACACAAACCCCCAACAGGCCCCAGCATGGCAGTACAACACAGCTCCTCCACCGACGGGGGCTCCCACTTCCATTAGCACGCCTCCCCGAGGCCTGGCGCCCCCCCACGTAAACCCAACCGCGAGCTCGCCAGGGTCGTCATTGTCATCAACGGCTTACAGCCCTGCGGCACCACCCCCCCATGTGTCCCATGGTGTCACCCAACCGCCGGGCCCCGGGATGCACCGAACCCCTCTGCACGGATACCCCGCGCCAGGTAGGAACACGGAGGATCTGCTTACGGTCCAGACTGCACCTCCCACCCGCACAAGCTGCTAATTAGGAAGTATAAAGTGGTGGTTTTATAGTGGCTCCGTGCGTCATAGTAATACTAAGAGGACTCATCATTCCAGGATCCCTGAACCACTGAAATGTAGATAATGTCTGTCTTAATGTTTTTTTTAAGATAACCCCCCACCGAACCGCCCACAGTAGTGTCACTGCGTTGTGTTCTTCTCTCACCGGCGTGTGCTGCAGATGTTCATATCAAGAATGCCGATGAGTTGGAGCCGGACTTTGTCCTCTGCTCATACTCTGAATACTCCTCCCCGTCCCGTCGCAGGGACTCGATCCCTCTGAATTTGTACAAAGTTCAGATCCCGTCTTTTATTTGTTTCAACGGGACGAATGTCGCAGCCTGGTGGAGCTTTTTAAGTGTTGTTTATAGTTTGTAATTCCGTTTTTGTTGCAGAAATGTTTGCTTTCTTCTGAGGATTGTAGCCTGTATCTTTTGACCGTTTGTCATGGCTTTTATTTATAATATATTTATTTATGGTATATCATTTTTGTGAGTCTCCACTAGGACTCTTTAGTGAAGTACTTCAGCACAGACAGTCCCGTGATGGTCTGTTACCAGTTTATCTCTCAATCTCACGGTTTTGGCGGCCTGAAGGTTTGCTGCTCTCATTTACTTCACTCCTTGAGAAGAAGAGCTTTATTTTAGTGACCTTTCCCACAGCAGCACCATATATGTGGTATGAAATTCAAAATGATCCACATGCAGAGCTCTGATTTTCATTTGGCTCGTTATCACGCTGCTTCCTCTCTGAAGTCGTTGGCTCTGCGTGGCCTTTGTCCCTGAGATGACAGTCGCCCCTGTAGATAATCATCATCCTCATAACCGGCTCTTAACATTCTTTATCACCGTCGTAAAAATCAACCAACGTGGCCGCTTGTCCTTAATAAACGCGTGTCATTTATACATGAATGGGCTCTGCTCATTCTCTCCACAAGTTGTTAATCGGTGGCGACTTGGTGGAGTTAATTCAGTCGCTGCTTTGTGGGTCAGATGTTCTCCCAGATGTTCTTGGGTCCACACAGAACGTATGGTGCCACAGATGCTGATTTAACAATAACTTTGACTTGTTATTTAAGAGAGGGCCCCTTTTCAATTCATGAAAATCACCCTGAACGTTGTCCGTTTGAAACCAGGTTCTGCCCCCCCATCAATGGCTCCGCACGCATACCAGCCAAACCGAGCTCCCTATGGGCCCCCACCCACCGGCCCACCACCATCGATGAATCCAGCACCCCCGATGGCCCACGCAACACCCCCACCCCCCAAGGCAGAGGGTGAGCTCTTTAAAAAAATAATCCTTGCATTTCTGTCCTTTTTGTCCTCAGGTGCAACAACCTCAAAGACGTCGACACACCTCCACGTTATTCCCACTTTCCTGGATGTGTTTTGAATTATTATTATTCTGATTTGATTTATTTTGCGCGTCCTCTAACGGGTTAAAGTTGTGGCCTTGTTCAATGTGGTTGAATGTAAGTGCAGGTGTGCACTTTGGGAGTCGTGAGCAGTGTCTCTTTTTAAAGCCCCTGGAGACGAGACCCTTCCCCCTCGAGTGAGGAGAGTCTGGTGACGGACATTTTGAATTCTGATCATCTCCCGTTGTCTTCCCTCCTTTCCTCTACATGCCAGCTCAGTGCGGGGGTGCCGCTAACAGCGCCCTGCCCCCCGCTGAGCACGACTGCCAGGAGGGTGACATTGAATGTCCAGGTGTGGCCAAGTCTTTCAGAGTGGTTGGCGTCCCTTCATCTGTGTGTTGTTCAATGAGATGCACTCAGCATCCGCCTCACTCTGCTTAGAGATCTCTGCATGAAGTCGGTGCATCCCTGGTACCGCATCTCCTGTCAGTGGTAGTTTGCTTGCTTCTAGCTGTGACCCCTTCCAACCACATTTGTTCTATGACCTCTGAGGAAAAGCCCTTTTAAAAGCTGCCCCCCCCCCCCCCCCCACAGTCATCAGTATTTGTTATTTTTCTAGTGGTCTTTTTAGGTGTATATTTCCCCGTAGATCACATCCCGTTCCTCCATCTCCTCCGCCTGTTGTTAGCACCCGGAGATAGAATCCTCAAAATGATTTTCCATCTGTTTGTGTTCTTTTGCTGCAGGATCCGGCCCACAAGCACCAAGCAGCTTCAATCATGTTGACAGCAGAATGGGTGAGGCCCGTTTCCACC